CGAGCTGGACGACGCGCTGCCACCCTACAGCGAGCGCGAGCTGAGCCGCGGCCCGTCCCACCGCGGCCGCGACCCGGCCGTCCACGGCGCCGCCTCGGAGAAGAGGAGGAAGAAGGAGCCCGCCAAGAAGCCGGTGAGGCCGCGGCCCACGCCCACGCGCACGGGCGGCCCACGGGCGGCGGGCGGAGCGGCGCTGGGGCTGGCCTCCCACCTCCCCGCCCTCGGGTCGGGGCCTCGGAGAGCTGGAGAAGGCGCAGGTTACAGGTAGACGGAGACTGGGCGCATGGAGGGCCGGCTGTGAGACGCGTCTAGCGTCAGGCACGCCAGGCGCCATGATCGCCGCAGGCCTTCCGGTGGGCTTCGCAGGGCTGCGCGCACGCCGTTCTGCGCATGCCCACATGCGCGTCCCTCCCCGTTTCCAGCCCCTGTGGGGTGAGGCCTTGGAACGCCCATCAAATGCCCAGACGAGTCCATGTCTCTGAGCAGGTTCGGAGCCACGGCTGTTCATGAAGGACAGCAAGTACTTCTGTCTTCCTCTGACGTTTTATTGAGTGGAAACGGTGCTGTGTGTGCCCTGTTTAGGTGAAGGACATTTTTAGGTCCCTGCCCAGTTATTTGTCTCTTGTGTGAAGTAGCCTTGTAAGACTTGACTGCTTTCTCTCTAAATGCCAAGAGCAGCCCACTCCATCCGTCAGCCCCCAAACGTGAGCTCTGGACCTCAGAGAAACGTTGGGGGACAGTCACAGACGTCCACTGTGGGTTGCCAGGGTGCTTCCGTAACCTGGAGGCCATTCTCTAAGCCCAAGTGCTTCTGCCCCCTCCTCAATTACCCTGCCCCTCCCCACCATTTTGGTTTCATGATTCCAAGCTGGCCATTTTCTTTCATGTGTAGTTTGGGGAGAGAACATGAGCAGAAAAAGGTTTCGACGTGATGATTGATCTCTCTAAAACAATCAAATGTCTTTTGTGGCTTCTAAAGTACAGACGTGTAAAGACCAAAGTACTGCAAGTAGGGAAGGAAGTTTCAGGTGAGGTCAGTTTTGTGGTCCGCCATCCACACTAGCTGTCGGGGGGCTGCAGATATTGCAGTTATCCCCAAAGAGGCGAGAAGTTACTCTGTGGCCATGGAACTAAGTTCTCCCAGGTGCGTGTTGGCATCAGCGCCAACTGAGGCTTAGGAACAGTAGCCAGTCACAGGCCTAACCAGATGTCCTAAGAGCCACGGTCTGCCCACAGCACCCCCTACTTTGTTGAGTTGTGTTTCTTTAGCGTGTGGCCTAATGTTGGGTTCTTTTTGCTCTTCCCCAGAGTGACTTTCCAACCAGGATGTCCCTTGTGGTCTGATGTTTGTTTTAAGACATCTGTCTGGATCACTAGAAATCAGAAGCAGACAATGGGGACAAGGCACAAATCTAAGAGCCAGCAGGCCCAGGACCTTCTCCGGCCACCTCCTTGGAAGGTTGACTGATCTTTGCTTTGGCAAGAGATGGGGGGCCGCCCGAGGGAGGCTGGCTCCAAACCTCAGTGCCCATCTAACTCGTTTGAGAAACTTATCATGAAAATGACTACATGTGAGAACATTCCCACACGTGGAGTCTCTTGCCCACAGAGTTCATCCTGCCCAGTCTCCTTAGCTGAACCAGGATTCTCCTTCCAATTCTGAAAGGGAGTTAGCTCAGGACTGCTAATCTCTAGAAAATGCCTCTGCCTACAGTAAGTGTTTCTGTACCTCCTGTGCTCTGCTTAAAGATGGAAGAATTTATTCCTACCATTAGAAGAAGACCTTCTCCTGACAACAGAAGACAGCTTCAGGCGAAATATACCTTTTATCCCCATCACCTCCCAGATACGAGTCAATGATTGTTGTTACACTAAAATTGGAAGGCCTTTGGAGAGCTCAGTGACAGTGACCTGCTGGATGGTCATAGAAATCACTCCAATTTTCTGTTCTGAACGACAGTTCTTAAATGGCTGGAACAAAACAAAAGAGAGGATATGTGTTTGACAAGCTGTGTGAGCGGTCCTCCTTTTTCTGTTTGGAGAATGTAAATGATGTTTTGTCTTTCTGCCGCACACGGTGACATCTGAGTCTTGGACAATAAGGGCTCTCTCATCCTCCCCTCTCCTGGACTTTCCACAGGTTGGTGCCACACACAGAACCCCGTCTTCCTCTGCCCTCTGAATAGGTTGTCATCAGGTGCCTTTCGATAAATGCTTAAAGCACACACAGGAAAGAGAGGAGGGAGAAAAAAAGAGGAGAAAGCAGCACTCAACATGGAGATGAGAAAGAATTGCAGGGAACGGGTGTTCTCATCATATTTGGAACGTGGGCCATCTTCCCCACAAACTCCACCCAATCTTCTCTGGTTTTGTACTTCATTTACCATGACTTGTTTCTGCCACCACAGCTCTGCCAGGTCCATGACACTGTCCATGTGAGCGTGCATCTATTGGCCTCACTGGGCTGCCACTCTAGATGCTTTTGGGAGATGAGGGATATTGCTCTTTCTGGAAGGAGAACTTCCTATCCCCACACCCTTGCCTCACTGAGAGGTTTTGCCTAAATCAATGCTAGATCTCTCTGGATTTTGTAATTTGTGTAGGTAACAAAACATGGCCATGAACCCTTCTCTTCTCATCAAGTACAGTCTGTTTTTCCACCCCGTGAATCTGGGATTGGCCACGTGGTTTGATTTGACCGGTGGCTCAGTAACAAATGTGACACAAGCAGAGACTTGACAAATTCTTGTGCATGGGCTTGTCCTCTCTTGCTGCTCTTGGGAACCTTGCAGTCACCACCAGGTGAAGGAGCCTGGGCTGCCCTGTTGCATGCTGAGAGCAAAGGGCCCCATAACCCCTGTCACCACCTCAAACAGCATGTCAACTCTCAGCTGACTGCAGACACCTATGTGAGCCCGGCCAAGACCAACAGAAGAACTGCCTAGCTGAGCCAACCCAAATTGTTGATTCCCACTCAAGGCATGAGAAATTGGTGCATTCTTCAAATGTTCATTTCTCTTCAAGGAAAACTGACTTTTCCTTCTCATCCGACTGTTCAGCCCTGAGTCACTGGCTCCATCCAACCTTAGGTATCTCACGGTCTCCACTTTCTTTGACAGACTTTTATCAAAGCTTGTCACCCCATGCTATCATGGTGGGACACATGTTTGGGTCAAATCCCGGGAGGACAACGCTGCTTGGCCTCACCATCCCCCACTCCCAGCAGTGGTCCACCCTCTACCTGTGGATCTGTGGCCAACCTCTGAAGAAAGTTTCTGCTTCAGCATCTCCTTGGTCTTCTCTTGAGCCATCTGACCAGAGCCAGGCCCTATTCTCAGAGTACCATTCCACTGGCATCCATTTACTTCGTGGCATTTCCAGAACAGTCCCACATGTGCAGTGAGATAGAGCAGTGGCTGGAGGAGGGTCAGTTGGATGAGTTGATGTCATTGCTTGGAGGAGAACTGGCCTACTGAAGGACCTCACTCTGGCTTTGGCCTGTCCAAGAGGAACCAGGAGGACAGTTCAGCCCAGCGCTGGCACTTCCAAGGGCTGGAAGACACAAGCCATAACCCTGGTGCCGAGTGTTAGACTTGCTGGTGTCCCTGGCTACTGGAAGTCTAGATCCAGTTTGTCTGTTTGGGCCCTGGTTCAGATGGAAAAGATAATGAAAACATTTCTCAGTCACCAGCTTTGGATTTCAACTTGCTCAGGCAATTTTAGACTACTGGGTCACTGCAGTAGCAATTATCTCTTCATACTGAGCCCTGTGTCAGACTTCTTACCACCAAAGAGCCCCATAGCACCAGCGGCAAAGACCGAAAATATGGCTTTGATTAGCCGGGGGCATGTATGATTTTGGTGAAGGTGGAGGGAAACAATGGGAAAGAATTGTTAAAGTTGGAAACCTGCAATTCCAAAGACAACAAAACTACAGACAATAAAAGATACAAAGAACAGAATAGACTACTGAAATAGCCTGGGGATGGGACCAGGGTGTCCTCCTCAGGGCTGCGTGGATCAGACTTCCAGGCCTCAGGCGAGAGAGAAAACAGTAGTTTTTGGGGACATGGACAGGAGCTAACTCTGACCAGACAAGTGAAGGCACAGCCGGCCACCCTCAGCAACCACCGCAGCTTTTCTCAACGTCTCTTTGCTTCTTCTGCCCTGAGCAGTGGGTCCTCATAGGAAGTGCTTGTACATGTTAGCGTCCTTCCTAGGTTTCTTTGGGTACAAAACAGGTCTTGTGCAAGACATGGTCTCTGTCCATTGGGACCCTGCAATTGAATAGGGGAGATAAGACACATCCAAGGAAGAACTGGGGGGATTTTATGCATATAATATGAAATATTGCTATGAATGAATTACAACAAACCCAGAGAATTAAAGTCTTTTTTAATTTACATGGTTATATTGTGGTATTTTAGTGTTGTGTGTGTTTGTCCATGCATCTTATTTAAAGATGTGCTCAATGATCTGAAAACCAATATTAAAGAATCTGAACTGAAAGAGGTGAATTAGGCTGGAGAGGGTGAGAGGTATAGGACCCAGCGGGAAGGTGCATGAGCTGCTGCACTGGCCTGTGAGTTACAATGAGTCCGGGACCTGGGGACACAGCGTAGATGCAGGGGCAGGACGTGTCCCCTGGTAGAGGAGCTGCTTCTCTAGGCCGTGCATAGACCCTGAGGAAGCTGGGACATTGGCCATGGAATCCTGGAGCCTGTCAGCTCATGGGGAGCTCTGTATCTGTATCAGCTCTGTATCTGTATCTGTATCTGTATCAGCTCTGGGGAGCCCCAGAGCTCGGCTGTGCAGCCATGAGTGCTGCCAGCCACCCTCGCCACTCAGAGAAAGTCCTGTGCAGACGAGGGGACTCTCATCTCCCTTCTTGGGACTCTCATTCTGTACCTGGCATAGGACTGTGTCAACGGGAGGGGCAAGAGGCTGCCACTCAAACCTGAAGCACTCCAGGCTGAAAACACCTAGCCACGCCTGTCAATATTTCTAAATAGTCTCAAAGACCGCACACAGGTAATCTGATTAGACCTCTGCAGCCTTTGAAAGAGGCTGAAGTCACAGATATTGTTGTAATCCATCTGCCCCTTCTCTCTATAGATGGAGAAGTAACCATCGCTACCCTTAGTGAAGTCACATACCTAATCAAGTCTTTAGACTCCAAGCCTGTAGCTCTTTTCTGTTGGATCAGTCTTTCCCCAAATGGCCTAACCATACAAATTACTCGGTTGCTGTTGAAAATGTATTGTTGGGCCCCACCTTGGAGATTGATTGGGTGGGTCCGAAGCCAGGATCTGTGCTTTTAACTCGCATTTCAGGAGGGTCCTATAGTCAGATGCAGACGGGAAATGCTACGCCAGATCACAATCCTGGTGTACCCCAAACAGTTGGTTCTCAGGCTTCCTTGGGTTTTGAAAGTTTTTCCTCACACGTCCTGATGAGGTCCCACTCACTCCCTTGGGGCTGGCAGTGGCACGCACCCAAGCAATCTGGCTGTGACAGTGGTGATGGGCTCCCCAGGGTCTAGGAGCAGGAAAACGGGGTGAGGCGGAGAGAAAGGAAAGCCAGGAACACTCCCCAAGAGTCTCTGCTAGATGTTTCCAACCTGAAACTTAGTGATCTGTTATGACAATCTCAGATTTGACAACAAGAATTACAGGTAATTTTCTCATTCCCTTGATGTCATTGTGAGCAAAACTTCATTCGTGAATAGAAAGAAAAGAGACCTTTGGGGAAATGGCAAAAATAAATCATTTTTTGAAGCATTCAAATTATCAGTCTGGCTGATCAACACCCACTTCCACGTTAAGATCTAAAGTGGGGTGAGCAAGAACACTAAATTCTACATTGCATATCCTTCCCACAACCGTTTAAATGCTGCCAGGAGTTTAAGATTGATTTATAGGCTGTGGAGATCCAAGTTCACCAACACAGGGCCCAGGGTCCTGCCACATTCCTGCTTCCTAGTCACCTGGGAGGCTGATCAATGAAGCCCAATTCAGGGCCTTCATACGCCAGGTGGAGCCAAGATAACACTGAGCAGCTGTGCGCAACAGCCAGAGCTTCGGCACTACCTGAGGGTGACCAGGTCAGTGCTAATCCTATTTGTATGATTTCCCTGGTGGATTACTGTTTACAGACCACTTTCACACACATTATCTCACTGCATCCGCGTGTGACAGAGGCAGGGCGCATGTGTGGTCCCATCAAACAATGTAAAGCTGAGGCTGAAAAAGGCTAAATCCTTTGCCTTTTAAAATGCTGGAGCCAGGCCTTCTGACAGTCTGGGTAGGGTTCATTCCAGTCCCTACAGTTCCCGAGGCACGGGTCTAGCTGACTCTCTGCACAGCCAATCGTCAGGCGAGACGAGTCCTGTACTTGACAATCCGCACATGTCATCAGTGGAGTGAGGCTATGAGGGCACACACTGCTACGGGCTCATCCCACCCAGCTCCGCCCCTCGCCTGCTGATGGAACAGGGAGTCAGCATCGCTGAGAGTTTCATTTTCATTAGCTGTACCCCAAGGGGGAAAGGCTTTGATAAAAATGGGCTTTGGGTTTTAGATTCCCTCTTGAAGAGAAATTTCGGAGTCAAAGTACAAATTCATCTAGATTCAGAATTCTGGGGCCTGAGGGTGACCCGCTTAGGAGCCACCTATCTGGCATCTTCACTGCACTTGGGGGTTTTAGGTAGACTTAAGAGGGGCCAGATGTAGCGGGAGACGATGCAGCCCTTTACTTAAAGGTTTTGTTAGAGTTTTTGGATGGAGCTGGACCTCTTCCGGGAAGGCTGAAAGAGACACAACTTCTCTCACTGTGGCTTTAAGGCAAAGCTACTTTGTCAACAAAAGTATTACTCTACCCCGTGAGAACTTTCCTTGTGGGAAGAAAAGGGGACAAAGAGGGGTCAGAAATCTGCTTTGAGAGTCACCTGCCCAGTTGCTTTTGTGTCTTGTCTGTGGCATCAGAGCGGAAATGTTTGTATCACTGTCGCCCACGATTTTTTTCCAGTGTCAAGCATACAAAGTGAATTTGGTTGTAATGTTTCAAACTAAATAAAGCATTTTCACCTACATTCGTTGTCAAGAACTCATAATTAACACAACTATGCTCACTCATGATGTGACATTCAATGATTCCTGCAAGAAAAAAAAATTATACAACACATGACTGCCTTCGATTATTTTCAGTCCTGTAATAGAGGAAGAAAGAAATACTGTGGGACTGACAGAGCATAACGTATGTTTTTACAGATTTGAATAAGCTGTGATCTGGACACATTCCGTGTCCACTCTCACTGCTCTCACACTCAGGTGATGAACAGAAGGAAAGCGGGTCTGACAAGGTGATGGAAACTGACTCATTTTCAAGAAAGGCACAAGCATTTGCCTGCTAGAAATGGCACTTGGGGAAAGGAGGAAGGAAGTTATTTGTGGGAGGACATCTTAAGTTCCAAAGAGATCTGAAAAATTCCACAGCATCATGCTTAAGAGAAGGCAACTTAAAACCTTTGTTAGCAAATTTATTCAGATTGGAATTTGTGCTTCCTGAATCCATGGATTAGATTTTCCACCAATTACGGAAAACTGTAAGCTGCTAACATATCAAATATTTCTTCTCCTCTTTAGCCTCTCTTTTGAGAATTCCAATTAAATGTATGTCAGGCCTTTTTATTCTATGCTACATATCACTTAATGCACCTTGTGTATTTTCATCTCTTTGTCTATCTGTGCTGTATTGTGGGTAATTTCTTCAAGTTTATCTCCCAGTTCACTCCTTTTCTGTTTAGTTGGCTCTAATCTCCTTCCTTTGAGTTTTAATTAATTTTTTTTCATTTTTAAAACTTTAATTTAGTTCCTTTTCACATCTGCATGTTCATTGTTGATAGTATCTTGCTCCTTAGTCTTGTATAAAATTCTTATTTCTTTGAATACATGAAAGGTACTAATTGTATATTTTATACTCAGTAGTTCCAATACCATCAGTCTTGTGAATCTAATTTTGAAGTTTGTTTATCTGCTAACTCTCACGTAGTTTCTTGTTTCCTTATATGTTTTATAGTTTTTGATTGTGAATTCATGTGTGGTGGAATGCCATACTTATTGGTGCCAGTCAAGAAAGACCTTTCTGCTCCTTAGCTGTCCTGTTTCTCTCTATCACAACTTCACAGGTACATAGCAACCCTGGAGGGCCCAAGAGGAATGAGTGATGGTGTGAGAAGAAATGGAAATGCTAAGTGGGGAACAGAAGGTACATGCATTTCTCTTGAATGCAAGCCTCTAGCCTGGAGAGCAAGGAGCTTTAACTTTACAGATTGCTTACAGTTTGATCATTATAAAAGAATCACTATTCTAATTACAGAAATAAGACAATTTGGGGGATTAAAAGTGAACAGAAGGCCATGTATTATTCAAGGGCGACCAAAGAAATTATGGATCTAGATATCACTCAAGAATCAAGGAAGGACTAGGCCCATAGGATGGATTAGAATTCAGCAACGGTGGAGAAAAAATATTTCATGTTTATATCCTAATTCCCATTCGTTTAACGTGCAAGTCATATGTTTAAATACTTGTATGTTCAATTCAAGAAATAAAGTAGGCTGATTTCAAGTTCTGAAAAATTTTGGCAGAGACATCCTCATAATACTCACTACTCCATTTAGGTGAAATTATATTTTCTGCCGAAGTGGTTTCTTGAGCTTATCAGGTGGCCTGGGTGACTCACCAATTACAGCGGGAGGTCGTAGCTGGCAAGACGCTCACAGAAGGGGAGTGAGTTAGCCTGACGCGCCACCTCGTGGCGCACAGCGGAGGGCACGCCTCCTGCGCCAGCTCGCCAGGACTCACCGTACTCAGTTCACTCGTTCGAGATGTCTTCTTAAAAGGCCTTATATGAATTAACTTTCGACAGATCAAAAAGGTGCACTAGGAGTTCTTTATTTAGGAGTGGTGAGTTTTTCTGCATGTACTGGAACTGTAGACCTTGTCACATTACGTTTTCAGGGAAGGTTTCTGTGGGCTCCACATGGGGAAAACCTCCTGTTTCTTGCTGGGGAACAGCGGGAATGAGGTGGGTGCCTGCCTTGATTTAACACTGTTTGAAAGTGTGCTTTTAACACAATTGAGATACAAGCACTTTCTGAAGTCAGGTCAGACTCGGATGCTACAGAATTCGAGTGAAGCCGGTTTCTCATCAGCAAGCAAAACTTACGAGTATGTCATTGAGCTGTGCAACCAAAGGATGTAAATAGTTTAGTCCCTGGCCTTTGGCTGTAAAATGATGAAAATCTCTCTCTCTCTCTCTCTCTCTCTCTCTCTCTCTCTCTCTCAACGAGCAGAGAAGATTCCCCACCATCTCTGATACTAAAACACTTTTTTAAAAAAAA